TTATCATACCCGATTTGGTCCTGACAGAGACCCATACCTGCTCATAGTCAGCAATACAATTAATGATATCACTCTGAAAAAGCTGGCACATATACATAGCCACGCCACCTCCACGCCTAACTCTATGCCTCCTGAAAGATTTATAACCATCAATGTTTATCATGTCATCAGATATAGTTGAAAATAACCAATTTTCAGAAACACGAAATATATTATATTTCATTTCATATAAAATTTGAGATACACTATTTAAAAAAATAAAACTAGATTAACGCTAGCACTAGAACTAACAATAGATCTAGAACTAAAAATATTCACGAACACCTAGCACGCCATTTTCTGCAATTAGTTCGCTCCCGAGAAAAGCAAATAGTAATCCAGCCCATTAAATGTTAATGTTTGAAAATAATCCCTGCAAAAAGCATCTTAACTTTACCACATAAATGAGAAACCGATATTTTATGTACTACATAGGATAACCAAAAAGAACGAAAGCCTCCGAAGATGGCGTAGATCACCGAAACGCGTCAGGCAGAGTGTAAAACTTAATATATCAATAAAAGCATAAATATACGTTTAATTATTTTCATATACATATATTGATAACAAGGATCCACAACATGAATAAAAATATTCCGTTTAGCCGTGCATCTCTTAAGACGGCTAAACCTGAATGTTTCTACTTCTAGGTCTAATGTTAGTCTAGTGACAGTGGTAGGTAGCGCTAGTTAGGGTAAGATATCAATTTGTTGCATATAACATTAAACCTAGAACTAGAAACATTCGGATTCGGTCTGAAGATGCAATGCCAAAACCGATATTTTCTAGTTCTAGGTTCTAGCACTATCACTAGAACTAACAAGACCTAGTATTAGAATCATTTGGGTTTAGCCGTCTTGAGAGACGTGCGGCTAAACCCGAATATTTCTAGCTCTAGGTCTAGTGATAGTTCTAGTTTTAATTGTTATTTAGCATTAGATTCTGGTATATTTTTATTGAACGAAAAATAGAACTAACAATAGACCTAGAACCAGAAACATTTGGGTTTAGCAGTGCATCTCTTAAGACAGCTAAACCTGAATGTTTCTAGTTCTAGGTCGAATGTTAGTTCTAGTGAGAGTGGTAGGTAGCGGTAGTTAGTATAATATATCAATATGTTGCATACTTTTATTGCATTAAAACTAGAACAAACACTAGACCTAGAACTAGAAACATTCGGGTTTGGCCGTCTTGAGACGTGCGACTAAATCCGAATGTTTCTAGTTCTCGGTCTAGTGTTAGTTCTAGTTTTGCACTAGCACTATCACTAGAACTAACACAAGACCTAGAACTAGAATCATGCGGGTTTAGCCGTCTTGAGAGACGTGCGGCTAGGTCCAGTGGTAGTTCTAGTTTTAATTGCTATTTAGCGTTAAATTGTGGTATATTACATTATATACATTGATAGTAGTAAAAAAGATACCCATGATTGGAGACCCTGTGGAGATTATCGAGACCCTCTTCCTCACATACAAGACTTCAACTTATATTTAAATAATTGTACAATATTCTCGAAAGTTGATTTAGTAAGAGCATATCATCAAATCCCTGTAGCTGAAGAAGACGTTTAAAACGAAGAATTTACTAGAATGTCTTTCGGTCTTCGGAATGCTGCCCAAATGTTCTAACGTTTCATCAATGACATGTTTCAATTTCCTTTATGTTTATTTGGACGATAATCTCATTGCAAGCAAGGATGAAACCGAACATATAACACATTTAACTCAATTATTCACAAGCGATTAAATGATTACAACATCAACATTCAACCTTCTAAATGCATTTTTGGTGTTAAATCTTTAGATTTTCTTGGACATCACATTTCTTCGAAGAGTATTCGTCCTTCTTTATCGAGAACTAATATTATTACTAACTTCCCTAAACCTGTTTTTTTAAAAGAACTGCAAAAAGTCTTAGGTGTGATAAATTTTTATCATAGATTCATTCCTAAACTATTACAGATTTCTCTCTAAATTCTAAAGTCTAAATTCTAGTAAAGACAAATCAATCTCTGCATGGTGAAACGAACATGAATTATCATTCACTCAAGCTAAAGAACTTCATTCGTCGATCTATATAGGCATGGGAGCAGTTCTTGCTCAAACATTCAATTCTGAAACTCAACCTTTAGCTTTTTACTCAAAAAAAATTTCACCCGCGTAATTCAATTACTTTACATTCGATAGAAAATTACTTGCTATTTATACAGACCATAAACCTCTAATAAATTCGTTCTTTTCTAAATCAGAAAAAACTGCTCGTCAAACTCGTTACTTAATTTACATTACCCAACTCACCTTAGAANCCTAATCTAACCTCAATCGCCTTAAGAACATCTGCCCGTCTTCCCGTTCATTCAATTATCGAACTCCGGGAATATCAAGATCATTTAAGACAACTAAAATGAGTGGTGTGTTTATGTGTTTCCTAAATATTTCGTAACCGTACAATGATTGGTGAAGAAACGAATGCGTTAAGAAGAGAAATAACGTTTCGAGCACCTCGCATTGTCAACGACGTAATACATCAAAAAATTTTTTATCTCGGACACCATCTAGCTTATTCGATTCACGACTTCCATAGCACGAAGTTGAAGAACCACAACGGTATACCGAAAACATTTTTTTTTCTTCTTCACGATATTCCCGCCAGCTCTCTCCGTGAGGTGTCCGAGGGAACCGTCTCATTCCTCGAGCATAATGAATTACGCGATTGACAGTTTGACAACCAATAAAGGCTCGGTAGGAGGTGAGCTAGTCGATTTTATTTAAGTTGGGCGTTACGTACGAATGTTGTAAGTATTTACAACATGGTACAACATGGTCTACAGATTGCTGGATGGACTGATGGATGGATGGATCGAAACAAATCACAATTGACAAGTTGCTATGTGAATTAAAACGATTATGAGAGGTTTAAAATTTGAATGCAGCTTCGTTTATCCGGTTTAAAGTCGTCTAAAGTCGTAACGTTTTAAGTTTTTGCACGATTGTGTCTGCCATCTCCGTTTACGATTATGCACCCGGAAGAGACGAGGAAACCACGCGAAATGACGACGTTTTATTCAAATTGAAGACATTTTTACTCGGATTGGCTGCAATTCTTTCAACCACAATTTTATTCTTAATGTTCGTTCCACGCTAATTGTAATTGGACACGGATGAAATTAGGTGTATCTACGTAGTTAAAAGTTTCTTACTCTTTATTGTAATTTCTATAATTTAACTTAATCGTTTTAATCGGTTTAACTGTTATTTTTATTACTAAGATATTTTAAGAAATCTCGGTATCTTTTTATTTAGCTTTATTAAATTCCTCGCACTCGTTGAGAGACGTTGAAAGTGGTTTATTAAGCAATCAAACCCGAGATAGTATGGGTTTCGATTAGCACCAATTAACCACTTGAAAAGAGCAGACACGTACTGGATTCCAACCATACAAAAACGAATACATTTCGATTGCTTAAAGTTCTTTATGGCGAAATAAATTTGAACACGTGTTTTAAATTGAAATGAAACAGAAATTGGATTAATAAAAATCCTCTTTGATAATCTAAAAATAATGGGTTAATTACCAAATTAAAATTAAACGATTTACATATTAAGTTTTATGTTAAGTATTGGATGTGTTACGAAAATAATGTTTTTTCCAAGACGACTTGGATCAATATCTCTAAAACAAAATTTATGACTAATTTGGTTCCCAGCGAAAACATTGTGATGGAAGGAAAGGAAATTGAACTGGTGGATAAGTATACCTATCTTGGCCATGAAATTAAAATCACAAGAGACAACCACACTTTCGAACTAAGGGGGAGAATAATCCTCTTATGGGCAGCATATGGTAAACTGAGAGATGTGTTTAAGAGCAACCTACCAATATGTATAGTGTTCGATCAGTGCGTGCTGCTGGTCATGACCTATAGGGCAGAAATACTGGCTCTGGCCATAACATCTGCCAACGGGCTTAGAACAACACAGCATAAAATGGAAAGATCAATGCTAGGAGTATCGCTAAGAATCACGTTAGAAATGAGGACTTGCGCCGAAGAATAGGCGTCACAGACGTAATTTCTCGCATGGCCAGACTCAAATAGAACCGGGCTGAACACGTTACCAGCAGGACAGATGATAGGTGGGCAAAAAGGCTGTTGGAATGGAGACCTCGAGCTGACAACCAAAAGACATCAAGAGATTTGCTAATAACTGGATCCAGGCAGCACAGCACAGCAAGAAATGGGCGAAAATAAGGAGGCCTATGTCCCGCACTGGACACAGTGGGCTGAGTGATGATGAGAATATTTATTTTCTAAATATCGACGGCGATCGAAAGATACTGTGCGGAATGGAGAAGGAACAGAAATGCTGAGATGGGTAGAGGAGAAGGGATGGGAGATACTGAATGGGAATAAAGGGGTAGGGGAGAAAGGGGAGTATACTTACATCGGGGCGAGGGGGACATACGTGATTGATTATGTACTGGTGGATCAGGAAATGTGGGAGAGGGTAGAAAGGTTTAAAATGGGAGAAGCGGTAGAGTCGGATCACCAACCGTTGGAGATGGAGCTAAAGGGGGTGGGCGGCAGAAGGCGATCGAATCTGGGGAGCAACTTTATCACGACAGACAGACTGGTCGGAAGAAGGGGTAGCATTCTACAGAAACCTCGACACTTGGCTACAGAGGGTACAAGAGAGCAAGGGGTAGGAAGAGCTTATCCAGGTAGTTTGGGAGGCAACACTGAAAAGGGAGTGTGTACGTAGGGGGGGGGGGTATGATGGCGAGTGCAAGAGGGCGATGAAGGAGGCGAGAAGGAGGTTGAGGCAGTGGAGACGGGGGGAGATAGGGGTGGATACAGAGAGTTATGCAGTAGAAATAAAACAGAACTGAGGGAGAAGGAGGCGGCAGAGATTAGAGGGATACCAAGGGAATTGGAGGTCTGGAGGTATCTGAAAAAGATAAAGATGGGTAGGGAGGGGATCACCACCGAAATACACATGACAGAATGGAACAGTTACTTTATGGTATTATTGGGAGAGGTTGAAACGAGGCTAACGGCGTTGGGTGGCGAGGGGGGAGGTGGGGGAGAGGAGATAGCAGAAGAGGAGATGGAAGCAGTGCTTAGGGGATTGAAGAAGGGAAAGGCGCCAGGTGGAGATGGGATCCATAACGAGGCATGGTTGGAACCATCAAGGGTGGTGAGAGTGAAGTTGTTGGAGGGGATGAATAGCGTATGGAGAGGTGGTGGGATTCCGGAGGGATGGATAGTGGGAGTAATTTGCCCAGTATATAAAAAGGGTAATAAGGGAATTGTAGATAGCTATAGGGGAATTAACCTACTAGACTCGGCATACAAGGTATATACGAAGGTACTGTTGGGAAGACTGAAGGAGGAGATGAAGGGGGGAATTTTTCCGGATGGGCAAAATTCCCCCCAACTCCCCATCGACAACATGTATGTGCTGAAGCATCTGGCAGATAGAGAGCTGGATGGTGGACAGGGGGAAGTTGTGGGAGGAGATGGAGAGCAGGAAGATCACGGAACACCTAATAGCGAGAGTGAAGGAAATATACATGGAGACTAGGGCTAGGATAAAAGTGGGGGATAAGCTGAGCGACGTGTTCTGGACGACGAAGGGATGTCCGCTGAGCCCAAGTCTGTTTGCATTGTATACGGCGGACTTGGAAGATAGATTGGGGAAGGGGCAGATGGGAGGGTTGGTGGTGGGAGGTAGAAAGGGGCATATGTTAGCATACGCGGATGACATCGTGGTCGTGGCGAGAGAGACGGTGAAGATAAAGGATATGATAAAGACATTGGAAAGATATTTTAGGAGGAAGGGGTTGGAAGTGAATGTGGGGAAGACAAAAATGATGAAGTTCTGTAAGGGTGGGAGAAAAAGAACAGAAAACTGGAGATGGGAGGGAAAGGAGATCGAGGAGGTTAGGGAGTATACTGGGGAGAACCCTTATCCATATGTTGGATAATGTCATGAGGATTTTACGTTCCCGATATCTGAATGTTGTGACGATTTACCTTGCCACTGAAATGAAATGTCGCTTCGTCGCTGAACCCCAGACGATTGGCAAATTCGTCATCCTCAATTTGCTCCATTGCTTCCTGCATGTTAGTACAAAACTCGGTTCGCTTGACATAGTCATTTGATCGTAAACTTTGTACCATCTGTATACGAGACCGTAAAATTTTCCACACAGTTTTCTGCGGAATACCAAGTTTACGACCTGCTTTACTGGTGGACTTTTGTGGCGAACGTACAAAACATTGTCTAATCGCATCTGTTGCATCAGGTACTCGTGGTCTGCCGGTGCTTTTACGTTTCTCAACTATATTTGTAGTCTTGAATTGTCGATACCATCATAGAATGTTCTGATGACCTGGAGGATCAATTTAGTATTCCCTTCTGAATGCACGTTGCACTGTAACAGTCGAGAGAAATCGCCGCGTACTCTAATACTCAAACCGCGTTCTGTTGCATAGTAGCCATTTTGATAACTGCGGACGTGACTTAGGCATGTGCATGACAAACATGTCATTTACTATTCTATTTGTCATACTTTCCGAATTATGGCCTTGTAAAAGCCTAACCCTGTACAAACGTTTTCTCCAAAACGGCTATTAATAATTAAAGCGATTTGCCAGGAATTTTTTAACCTCTTAGGATAA